TGATGACATAAATAAAGATTAATAAGACAAAAACAGCTGAAACAACGTAAACAAACAAAACAACGACAATAAAACAAAACATTCATTACAGGTATTAATGAATAAAGACAACACAGGTGAGCTTAATTAACGCAAGGACAAAACACAGGTGATACAATTATTGCCTCAGGAAATCTTAAAACTCGTACAGGTATTAAGTGAAAGGTTACTTCAGGGTTTTGTAAGTAATTTAAGATAAAATTTAAATAACGCAGGTGTTCGTTTTAGTTGTTTATAATTACCCTGGAATTAAATACACTTAATTGAGGTACTCCTTAAGTTTCCACAGGTATTTGTAAGTAACTTAGAATAAAATATATGTTATGCCCTTTGCGACCTGAGAGACTTCTGGAGATCTCACTTATAACTTAATTAAATGTTTGTTCCACTACAGTAAGGAGAGACGATTTAGTGGTAAACTTTGGCGAATTTTTTGTAAGTTCTGACTGTGTGTGTGTGTGTGTGTGTGTGTGTGTGTGTGTGTGAGGATGAAAGGGAGGAAGGGGAGGGGGGATGGAGGCGGTGTTTGAGAGGAAGGGGAGGGGTGGAGGCTTTTGTGTGGGAGGGAGGGTGTGTGTGTGTGGGGGGGGAAAGGAGAAGGTGGTGGAGGTGGTTGTTTGAGAGTAAGGGGGGATGGGTGGGGATGTGTCTGTGGGAGCGAGGGTTAAGGGGCGTGTATATGGGAGGGAGAAGGAGAAGCAGAAGAGCGTGTAGAAGGAAGGGTGGGAAGGCTTGTGTGGAGGGAGAGAATGTTGAGGCAAGTGAATAAGAGAGAGAGAGAGAGAGAGAGAGAGAGAGAGAGAGAGAGAGAGAGAGAGAGAGAGAGAGCAAACCCCAGAAAAATGTGTCCTCTCTCTCCCTCTCTTCACTCCCCCCAGGGACGCCGAGGTTTGAAACAATAACAATGATCTCTCAAGAAATATCAGTCGATCCATCTATCTCTCAGTCTCTCGAAATATGTCTGGTCTCTCTCACCTTCGTCACAGATATCCTCCAATCTCTCTCGAGACTGTTCTGCTTTGGATCAATGACAATAATCTCTCGATATATATCTCTCGTCTCCCCAGTGTCTCTCAGAATCTATCACAAAACGTGTACTCTCTCTTATTTTAAAAAAAAAATTTCGGTCAAATATTTATTCAGAATTGTACTGTGTGTGTGTGTGTGTGTGTGTGTGTGTGTGTGTGTATGTGTGTGTGTGTGTGTGTGTGTGTGTGTGTGTGTGTGTGTGTGTGTGTGTGTGTGTGTGTGTGTGTGTGATAATAATAATAATAATAATAATAATAATAATAATAATAATAATAATAATAATAATAATAATAATAATAATAATAATAATAATATTAATAATAATAATAATAATAATAATTAACGATTTATTGAAAAAAGTTCTGCAGCCCGAAGGCTGAAAATATACATGGACATAAATGACTTATTGCATACATTGGTGGTTTTACAAAAGCCTTCATTAGAGAAAGGGAAAGGAACAAACAGTGAACATACAGATTATTGTAGGTGTTGAACAGCAAACTCGTAGTGTAGTAACTCCCTCACAGATGGTGTTATGAGGGGCCTGACGTGGTGTTACGAGGGGCTTGAAGTGATGTAGTAATTCCCTCACAGATGGTGTTATGAGGGGCCTGATGTAAGAACATAAGAACATAAGAAAATAATGAGTCTGCAATAGGCCGGTTGGCCTGTGCATGGCAGCTCCTGTAGAGAGTTACTACCACTCTCTATCATCCATGAATCTATCTAGCCTCCTTTTGAAACTTTCCAGAGTTCCCGCACTTACTACAATGTTGCTAAGCTTGTTCCACTCGTCCACCACCCTATTTGTGAACCAGTTTCTTCCTATCTCCCTCCTAAACCTAAACTTATCCAACTTGAATCCGTTGCTCCGAGTCCTATCCTGCTCGGATATTATAAGAACTTTATCTATATCGCCTTTATTGATTCCTTTCACCCACTTAAATACTTCAATCATATCTCCCCGCACTCTTCGTCTTTCTAGGGAATGCAAGTTAAGTTTCTTTAACCTATCCTGATATGGAAGGTTTCTAAGTCCCGAATCATTTTTGTCATTCACTGCACCGACTCTAGTGAATTTATATCCATTCTATAATAGGGCACCAGAACTGAACCGCATAATCGAGGTGCGGCCTGACTAGCGCAAGATATAGTTGCAATAAGACCTCTGCACTCTTGTTACTTACACTTCTAGATATAAAACCCAATACTCTGTTTGCCTTATTTCGAACATTAACGCACTATGTTCTAGGCCGTAGGTCCGGGCTTACAAGTACCCCTAGGTCTCTTTCACAAGTCGACTTCTCTAGGTTGATGTTGTTAAGGCTGTATACATTATAAGTATTTGTTCTTCCAACATTAAATACGCTGCACTTGCTGGTGTTGAATTTTATTTGCCATTTTTCAGACCACCCCTGCAGTTTATTTAGATCCTCCTGTAATGCATTTGCATCCTGCCCTGAATTAATTTGCCGCCCTATTTTGGTGTCATCCGCAAACGTGCTTATGTCACTGCTGATCCCAGTATCTAGATGGTTTTTGTATATGAACAAGAGTGGGCCTAGTACTGACCCCTGGGGAACCCCACTGGTTACACGGCCCCACTCAGATTTAACACCATCTTCGCTGACCCTCTGCGTTTTATCGGTGAGCCATGATTTTATCCAATTTAAAACTTTCCCCTCGATTCCATGAGCCTTAATTTTTCTCAGAAGCCTCTGATGCGGTACTCTGTCAAATGCTTTGCTAAAGTCTAAGTAAATAACATCGAAATTTTCGTCATTATCTACTACCTCGAAGACTTGTTTTCTTTAGTTTATTTATCTTCTTAAGAACATCCTCTTTTCTGATAGTGATATTCTTTAATTTCTCTTCTTCCTTTCCCTTAAATATCAGTTCCACCTCTGGAATTTCATCACAAATTTCTTCTGTGAAAACTGATAAGAAGTAGCTGTTCAATGCTTTGCTTATTTCTTCACTGCCATTTATCACTTCTCCCCTCCCTGACTTTAAAGGCCAACTTTGTCCTTGACCTTTGTCCTATATACCTGGAAAAATCCCTTGGGATTCGCCTTGGATTCTATTGCTATTTTGATTTCATAGTCTCTCTTTGCTTTCCTTACATTTTTCTTAACATTCCAGTAACTCCCTCACAGATGGTGTTATGAGGGGCTTGATGTGGTGTAATAATTCCCTCACTGGTGGTGTTATGAGGGGTATCACGTGGTTTAGTAATTCCCTCACAGGTGGTGTTATGAGGGCCATCACGTGGTGTAGTAATTCCCTCACAGATGGTGTTATGAGGAACCTCACATGATGCTGTAGCAACTCATTCACTACGTGGTGTCGTAGCATCATGGGGACACCACGTGGTCTGGTGTCACAGGACCTCACTCACTCAAGTGAGTGAGGTGTGGTCCCAGGCCTCCCTATCGTGGATGGATTAACACATAGCTGGTGTTGTTGAGTCTCAGGGGCAGTTCACTGGGTCCCTGGGACCTCATTGTGTGAAGGTTAGCTTGGGTACGACTCAGCTGTTACTGTTGAGTTGTTTTTCACTGACTTGAGCACTGTTCACCACTGTTCACCACTTTTCAACACTGGTTCCATCCCTTTCCTAAATGAAATAGTAACTTCTGGCGAGAACTTGTTGATATTCCGGTGGGGAGGAGGGTTCAGGGGAGGGAGTTGGTATGGGCCAACTTAACAGTTGACGTGGCTTTTGCCAGAGGAGCGCCAGGTACGTCTTGACCCTTCAGTGGTCAAGGATGTATTGTGTGTGTGTGTGTGTGTTTAAATTCACTTAACGTAATTGACACGGACCACCCTCTTTCAATCCCAACTCTTTGACACACACACACACACACACACACACACACACACACACACACACACACACATTCTAACTCACTCTCATCCCTATTCCCACCGTATTCACTCTTTAATCGAATCAAACGAAACCAAACCAAACGTGACCAAACCAAACGAAACCTAAAGAAACCAAACTTAACCCAACCAAACCTAACGTAACCAAACCAAACCAAACTTAACTTTACTTAAGGCAAATAAACCTAACCTAACCTAACCAGTGACACAACAACAAGGGCCTCGGGTTATCGTCACACAAGGTCGACAATGGGGCACTCTGACCATGGAGATACCGACTTTATGGCTCTATCTCACATGAAACTTCCCCCTCCCCTACCCCCCCATCCCCCACCCCATTCCCCTTTCCCCTTCCCCCTACCCCCTCCCCTCCCTCCCATCGTCCCTACCTCCTCTTTACCTACAATTTACTGGGCACAAGATAGCTATTCACAACTTTAAATTCATTTTTCTTCCATTTTGAATACTGATTTTCGTTTTAGGTATTATAATAATCTTCCCTGTCTGTCTGTGACTGTCTGTGTCTGTCCCTCTGTCTGTCTGTCTGGTCACCTCCATCCTCCCTCTCTCCCTCGCTATTTTCTGGACTGTATGTTTGTGTGTGTGGGGGTAGAGGCGAAGTGGCAGGAAAAAGAGGTTTAAGTGTTATATTTAAGGGTTATGTGTGTATATGTGTATGTATGTATGTATGTATGTATGTATGTATGTATGTATGTATGTATGTGTATGACTATGTTCGTTCTATGTATATTCCAAAATCAGTTTCCTTCTCTTCCTCCTCCTCCTCCTCTAGTAGGAAGATCGATTTACTGGAGGCTAGGAGTCCAGCTCCCCTGAGGCCAAGTTATAATACTTTGAGTGTCAGGTGTGAGGAGGAGGAGGTGTGTGTGTGTAAATATAATAATAATAATAAACGGTTTATTAATAGAGTTGCAGCCTGTGGCTGAAAATATATAGACTTACATTTGATGTAGACATAGTGATATAATATGCATTGAATACATTTACAGGGCTGTACAGTACATAAATCAGGAGTTGTTTATTATTTTAACAATAGATGGGATGGTGCTTTATATCTATCGGTGCGGGCTCTTATGGGCTGTATTTTGTTGTAGTGGCGGACTGCGCGAGTTGGGTGGGGGGCTGCAGGTGGCAGGAGGTGACGATGGCGAGGGTGGTGCAGAAGTCCACTGCCAAACCTTTCCAGTGCTTGGTGGTGGAGGTCACTGAGGGATGGCATTTCCAGGGTGGAGAGAGCGTTGGTGTAGCCGGAGTAGTCAGCGCCGAGCATGATTCTGCAGGTCCTCTTCTGTACCTTCTCTAGCTGACGTTGTTGGGTAGAGTTGAGAAATAACGACCAGGCTGATGACGCATACGTAAATTATGGGAGTATAAATGCGTTGTAGATAGTCCTCAGGTCTGGAGTGGGTGCCCCAAGCTACCTGAGTCGTCGTAACATGTAGAGACGGTACGAGGCTACCTTGACTGTGTTATTTACATGGGTGTTCCAATCTAGTTTGTGGTCTATCGTTACACCCAGGAGTTTGGCAGACTGCACCAGCTGGAGAGGATGGGCACCCACTGTGACTGCTGGGGCTTGCACTGGAGTGGTGGCGGTATTGATGTGCATGACTATGGTTTTGGTGTGGTTGATGGTGACCTTGTTCTCCGTAGTCCATGCCTGTAGCCTGTCTAGGGTGCCTTGTAGCGATGAGTAGTCTGGTGTAGTGTTGTCCACTGAAACCTCCACAGTGCAGTCATCCACGTACTTCCACCTGTGAGGAGTGCCCGATAGAGCGTCGTTGATCAGGGTGTGTGTGTGTGTGTGTGTGTTAGGTGAAGGAAAATTAAAGGTACATGGGAGAAAAGGATATGTTGATGTGCGGAGCCGAAATGAAGAGAGAGAGAGAGAGAGAGAGAGAGAGAGAGAGAGAGAGAGAGAGAGAACACATTTTCACAGAGGGAACAAAAAAAGTGGCAAAAAGGAAGACAGACATACAAACAGATAGACAGGTAGACAGATGGGCTGAAACAAACAGTATGTGAAGGTGAAACTTAACATAATTAGACAGACAGAGGAATTAACAATAGGTGAGATAGACAGACAGACAGACACAGACAGAGGAATTAACAATAGGTGAGATAGACAGACAGACAGAAGGACAGACAGAAAGACAGACAGACAGAGGAGTTAACATTAGGTGAGGCATGACACAGTTGGAAACACTCGACCTCAATGTTAACTGAGGTGGAGGACCTGTTGATGGGGAAACCTCTCCTCTGGTGGCGATACCTTCCTCCTCCTCTTCATTCTTCCTCTTCTTCTCCTCTTCTTCTTTTCTTAGTTTGCTTCTTCTTCTTCTTCTTCTTCTTCTTCTTCTTCTTCTTCTTCTTCTTCCTACTGCTTCACCTCTTCTTCTTTTCTTAGTTTACTTCTTCTCAATTTATCATCTCCTATCTCATACCTCCACTTTATCCATTTCCTCTTGTGCTTCTTCATCTTCTTTAATTTATTTTCCTATTTTAATTTCCTTAGTCGTTCTCTTACACTTCTTCCTTTCTTATGATTTTTCTTTTTTGTGTTATTCTCCTCCTTTCATCCACTTCTTTTTTTACCCTACAGTTTCTTCTCCTCCTCTTTCTCAGTTACCTTCTTCTTCTCTTTCGCTATAAAAAAACTATAGAAATGGATACTGTATTAAACCTCACGTACGCCCCCTTTAACAGCCGTGATCACACTGAGCCACCGCCGCCGTGATCACCTCTATAATAGTTTTCACCCTCATGTGATGTTGCCAGATGTGTCATTTTTACAAGACTTAATATTTTTGGTATTTTATATAATTAATTTCAATGGTTGATCTTAATTGAGGCGATTTTTTATATTTAATTATACCTGTTGATTGGAGTTTTAGAGTTATATGTAAAGTTATAAGTTATTAAAGGCATTGTACAGTATGTTGGCCTGCACTTACGTCATGGCCTTGTATCTTGGCCTGCACTGACGTCATGGTCTTGTATCTTGGCCTGCACTGACGTCACGGTCTTGTATCTTGGCCTGCACTGACGTCATGGCCTTGTATCTTGGCCTGCACTGACGTCATGGCCTTGTATCTTGGCCTGCACTGACGTCATGGTCTTGCATCTTGGCCTGCACTGACGTCATGGCCTTGTATCTTGGCCTGCACTGAGGTCATGGCCTTGTATCTTGGCCTGCACTGACGTCACGGTCTTGGATCTCGGCATGAGCGCAATACGTCATACAGGTTATACCCAATGAACTTCAAGATGCTGTTGTAGTCGACCAATAGGCATCAGTGTGATTGAGTTATCGACCAATGAGAATCCAAATGTATGGATTTAACAGTGAGCGTAATGGTTCTTGTATAAGTGTATTGTCAACCAATCATCACGAAGTGCTTGCGTTATCATCCAATCATCGTCAAGGTGCTTGCGTTATCGACCAATCATCGTCAAGGTGCTTGTGTTATCGACCAGTGAGCATGGTAGTTATCAAGCCATTGACCAGTGAGCATCAGGGTGGCAGTGTTATCAACCAATGGTAACTACATGTCAAATCTCATCCACCAATAATCACCAAGGTTTTCTCGTTAACCACCAATGGGCATCAAAGTCCATCCCCCACCTACTAATTACCATCAGAATGTCCCTGTCACCAACCAATGAGCACCAAGGTCCTTCCGTCACCCACCAATGTCCGCGTGCAGTCAAAAGCGCCCCCCTCCACCTCCTGCCACTGAGACCCCGCCAGACTTGTGGGTAAAGATGTCAACATATTTGCTGGTCTCGCCGTGTGTGTGTGTGTGTGTGTGTGTGTGTGTGTGTGTGTGTGTGTGTGTGTGTGTGTGTTGTTGTTGGGAAAACTGAAATTCCATTGTACGATACTATAAAGTTTCTAGCGGGTGAGAAGGGTGGAAGAGAAGAAGAAGAGGAGGAGGAGAGGAGGGGAGGAGGAAGAAGATTAAAATCATGTAGACGAAGAGGAAATAACATGGAGAAGAAGAAGAGTAAGAAGATAGAGAAAAAGAAACTCTTGAATGATTTTGGAGTGTGTGTGTGTGTGTGTGTGTGTGTGTGTGTATGTGTGTGTGTGTGTGTGTGTGTATGTATGTGTGTGTGTGTGTGTATGTGTGTGTGTGTGTGTGTGTGTGTGTGTGTGTGTATGTGTGTGTGTGTGTGTGTGTGTGTGTGTGTGTGTGTGTGTTTGTGTGTGTGTGTGTGTGTTTAAATGTTTGTACTGTATGTGTTTTTGAATTATTTGTCTGAACAGGAAGATCAAACTACACGAGTCCTGAAAGACACATTTTCAAACCAGAATAATAATTTAAATGTCTGATAACTCTTCAATATATTCTACTATAACACATAACGTTATTGGGAAATAATTCGTAGTCACAGATTGTGCACATTTTCTCTGAGTCTTTGAAGGACAAACTCAACTAAAAATGAAGTTCTCCAGCCAGCGCCGTAAAAGAATGATATCAAGCAGTGGGAGACGACTATTTTCAGATAATATTGTTCCTGGCAGACTTTCTCCCGTGGTGAAAGTCCTAAAAAATTCGGGGAATTTTTTTTTTTTTTTTACCGAGAGTTTTCCCAGGTAGAAGTAATTACCTAAGGGCGGACCATACGCGTTACACATACTTTGAGAACTTTTACCAACTCCTCTTAAAGATTTCTTTGGAGGGATGGTGTTGACCTCTGTTGACCTGGAGGGTAGGCCTAAGAGGTGAGGGGAAGAAGGTAAGCACCGTAGTATACGGTTGGTGGCGTCTTGGGTTCTCAGCTTAAAGAGGCATCAGCTTGATCCCCCCGAGGCCTAGAAAGGTCGGAGAGGCTTTGTCGTGTGGGGCATAAACAGACCCTGTCACATTACGACTTTGGAGTGGGAGAGGGAAGGAAGGAGAGAGGGAGGGAGAGGGAGTTTCACTGCCATGTTAAAATCCTGAACTAAGGTAACCTCGTCTCATCTTAGAGGCCACACCATCAAGTCTCAGGAGATGATGGCGCCGTGAGGATATCCAAGGCTGAAAGGTGACACTGACTAAGGATTAAATGACTCGACCCCATCAACCCCGAGAAGGAGAGACCTAAATTAACCTAAAGTAAAAGTGGTCCCCCCCTTAGCTGCCTTGTTTGGTCTGGTCATATACACCCACAGTGCCCGGGGGAAAATGTTTTGTGACCTACCACCACTTACCATTCTTTGGGGGTCTCTCTCTCTCTCTCTCTCTCTCTCTCTACGTAAGTGTAACACGCGATCACATCCATTACCAGAGAGAGAGAGAGAGAGAGAGAGAGAGAGAGAGAGAGATAGATAGGGGTGCTGCCTCCCCTCCCTGGTCGTCATTATGCCTCTAGCTACCTCAAAGTTACCTGTATTCACCTTGTTCTCTCAAGGGTGAGCCTGTACCTGTTAAGAGAGGTGGTGAGGCGCCTTTGTCACCACGGCTGTTTCCTTGCCTACGGTGTTATTCTTCTTCTTCTCCCTTCTTTTTCTTCGTCTTCTTCTTGTTTCTATGGTTATAACTGTACCTGTAACTTTACCTTTACCTGTAATTTTTATTTGTACCAGTAACCTGTATCTGTATGTACCTGTAACGTGTCTTCCCCTACCTGTATATATGATTGGACAACTGTAATTATATTTTCTGTTCTTCATCTCTGTTTCTTTTCTCCGTCCCTCTCCTTCCTCTCCTGTAATTTTTCTTCTCCTCTTTCTCTTTTTCCTCCTCCTCTTCCTCCTTTTCTTCCTCTATCCTCCTCTTCATTCTCCTCCTCCTCCTCCTCCTGGACTTGAGACTGTTTGTTCGAGGCTTCCATCTAAATCTCCTTGTGCTTCCCGATTCTACTTGAGTCCCCCCCCTTCTCTGTCATATACACACCTGCCAGCTAGTCTCACCCCGCCAGCTAGTCTCACCCCCTGCCAGCTAGTCTCACCCCCTGCCAGCTAGTCT